CCGAGCGCAGAGGGAGCCGGAAGCCGCGAGCGCGCCGGGGTACTGGCCCCGGAGAGCAGGGGGAGGAAGCGCGGGGCACTGCAGTGAGCCTTTGCTTGGGGACCTTTGAGAAGGGACGTTCGCGTGTTCCCCAGTCCCGGCCATCCTCCCGTGCGCTCGCCGGGCTGAGTCCGGCCAAGGGACGAGGCCGCTCATACGCGAAGCGTTACCTCGAGTCTCCATCTCTACCTCACCTCTCTCTAACCCTCTCTCTTTACCTCTGTTTCTTTTGTTTTTGTTTGTTTATTTTGTTGTTGTTGTTCTTTACCTCTATTTTCATCGTCTCTCTTAGCCCCTCTATATTTCTGTCTCCTCCCTGCCTCTGTTTTCACCTTCTCTTAGTCCCCTTTTACATACATTTTAATCTCATCTTTATGTTTCCATCTCCCATATCTCTCCTTTTTTTATATATATTTATAATCTCTCTTCTTTATATTTGTCCTCTCTTTTCACCTCTCTCTCTTTCCCTCTATACGAATTTCTGTCTCCTCTCTCTGCTCCCACCTCTAGCTCCTGTGCTGGGGCCACAAGAGAGCTCGCCCTGGAACTAAGCCATTGGCCCCGGTTTGGGGGAGGGTCTGTGGATCCCTGACTGTACAGTTGGCAGCGTTTCGCAGGCGGGCGCGCGAGGTGCACGCACAGTGCACCAACCTGCCCCGTCTGCCGTTGGCCAGAAATGCTTTGGAAAGGTGTGCCTTAGGTTCTATCCCTAGCTACGGAGAGAGTCACCTCTTAAAAGGGTAGTTCCAGTGGTTTGAAGGTAACACCGTTCCTCCAGGTAACCTGCCCAGGAGCCCATCAGGTGGATTGGGTAGAACCCAATGGTGGGTGTTTTGCCCCCGGCCAGGTTGGATTGCCCGAGTAAGCATGGGATCCCAGATGCAAGCCCTAGGGATGGCTTCTAGGCCTCAGTGGCTGTTTAGGGGAGGTGGCTTGCTGACCTTTGCTGTTGTGACAGCCCACACAGCTGTGGTGACAGCTCAGGTGTGAATCACTGCCCCCACCCCCCACGCCCACCTGCCCCAGGAGGTGGGGAGAACTGGCCCTGTGGTGCTCCTTGGTCATAGAGGTGATGGGGATCTGGTAAGGCACTCCTGACACTGGCGGCCCCTCCCACCGGCTTGTCTCCTTTGCTGGACCTGAGGGTTCTTGGGGCCACAGAAGCCTTAAGGAGAACTAACTGGGTTTATTTGCAAGGTAGCTGGGAGTTTGGCAGGTCTGCATCTATTAGATATACTCTTTTGTTTTTTAAAGGAATGCTTTATTGACTTTTAGACGGGGAGAGAGAGAAACATTGATGTGAGAGCCTCCTGTACATCCCCTACCAGGGATTGAGCCCAACACCTGGGCAAATGCCCTGACGGGGAGTTGAACTGGCATCCCTTCGATGCATGGGATGACGCCCAACCATCTGAGCACACTGGCCAGGACTAGATATGCTCTTTTTTTTTTTTTTTAAAGTTGAATTCAATGATGAGAGAGAATCATTGGTTGGCTTCCTCCTGCATGCCGCCTACTGGGAGTTGAGCCCGCAACCCGGGCATGTGCCCTTGACCAGAATCGAACCCAGGACCCCACAGTCCTTAGGCTGACGCTCTATCTACTGAGCCAAACCAGCTAGGGCTAGCTATGCTCTTAAATAGTTTATAAACTGTACTGACCACAGTCTGCTTGTATTTCTATAAAACCTATTGGTGGTGAGAAATGCAGTGCCTCAAATTGTGAGGGAGATTTGGCTACAGCAAGATGCAGAAACAATTCAGTTCAGCCCTTTGTGACTTGGAATAAAGTGTATTTATGGAACACTTTGTAAACTGTAATTGGTCATGAATATATGTTGGGTCTCTCTCTTTATGTAAATGCATGCATTTGTGTGTGAATGTACACACACACACACACACACACACACACACACACATTTAGTAGTCCCTTGAGGTTCATGGTGGTGGGCTGAGGTATGGGAGGAATGACCCTGAGTTTCCATGTAGAGGGCACAGATTGACTGCATTTGCCCAGTCGTGTGATTATGAGAGACACAAATGTGCAGTGATGCTTCCTTCCTCCAGGCATCAGAGACCCATCCATTAGAGTCTGTCAGTCTGCACGTCTCACACGCTGATGAGAGATTTGCCTAACAATCCCTGTCAGAACCTTTCAGAGCTTGGGGGTGGGGTGGGGGATGCTAAAAGCTGAGGGATTAATTCCCTTTCCCCGCCTACTTCTGGAATTCTGAGTGTGGTTCTGAGGTGTAATCTCAGATGTGTTCTTCCTTATAAAAATAACGGCAGCCTAAATAGTTATTACATGCCCTTATTTCAAGTAGCGGTGTCTTTCTTGGTTCCTATAGCCGCATTTGCCTTCCATCGGAATGGAGAAAACAGGGTGTTTTTTCTTGGCATCTTTCCTGACCCACCCCCTTCTGTAATGGCATTTGGAACATTGGTTGGATTTTCTTCCTTCTAAACCTGTTACCATCTCTCTAAGTGGTGTTGTAATTGGGGGTCTGCAGCAGATTCCTCTGAGGGCATGGGGAACATTACTGTTCATGTGCAAAGAACAATAAAACATCAGGAAACCCCAGACTGATTAGTTTGATATTTCTTCCTCTGAAGCACATCCACTGGATGCTCTGTTAGGACCCCCCACATAGTGGTAAGTGCTTCTTATAAAGCCTGCAGCTTCCTTCAAATGCACACCATAACTTGGGGAGACTTAACTGAATTGGTCAATCAGCATCATCGACAATGACGTCAAAAATGACTGGCAAGGACTACCTATCCTTTCTTTGTCATCAGTAAAAGTGGAGAGCCTCTGCATGGGAGTCCCTGCTTATTTACCCACTCAGAACCTTAGTTTTCTCGGCCCTGGTCAGGTAGCTCAGTTGGTTAGAGCATCGTCCCCATATGCCAAGGTTTCGGGTTTGAGCTCTGGTCAGGGCACGTCCAAGAAGCAGCCAATGAATGCAATGAAAAAGTGGAACAACAAATCAACATTTCTCTCAAATCAATTTAAAAAAAAAGAACCTTAGTTTTCTCATCATTAAAGTAGGTTGCATACTGTGTACTGATAGAAGGGTTTTCATCTCAGCAGGGGCTAAAAGCCACTGAAGGCATTCTAGTTTAAAGAAGGAAGGTAGGGGGAGTGTTTAAGAGAAATTCCTACCTATACTGTTGATGCTTGGCCCTGGCTACACATTAGAATAATTTTGGGGATATTTTAGGGAGTGGGGAATCCATATGATACTTTATTATTTT